GAGGCGGTTCTGCTCCCGGGTTCGATGAATTTCCAGCCAAAATATTAAAAAATCATCTGCAAGACATTTTACTACCTCTCAAACATCTTATTAACTTGAGTATTACTTTAGGCATTTTTCCAAACAGATTTAAAATAGCTAAGGTAATTCCTCTTTATAAGTCCGGACAAAAAGATGACAAAAATAATTATAGACCAATCTCATTGTTAAGTGTATTATCTAAAGTGTTAGAGAAATGTGTCAAAATTCAACTCCAAAATTATTTAAATGAACATGGAATTCTATCAGAACAACAGTTTGGGTTTAGAAAAGGTAAAAATACTACCGACGCACTATTTCTTATCAATAAAACTTTAATCGAGTCAGTGAATAAAAATGAAAAAATACTAATTGCATTCATAGATCTTGCTAAAGCGTTTGACTCTATTGATAGGAAAATTCTTTTCAAAAAGTTAGAATATTTGGGAGTAAAGGGGTTAGCCCTGGCATGGTTTAAAAGTTATTTAAGCAACAGAACTCAAGTAGTATCAATTAATTACGTAATTAGTGATCAAATAAATGTAGATTTTGGAATTATTCAAGGTTCTACAATGGGGCCTTTACTATTTTCAATTTACATAAATAACATAGATAAAATTGATATTTCTGGAAAAATATTTTTGTTTGCAGATGACACAGCGGTAATCTTTAGGGCACGTACTTGGGAAGAGGTTTTCAATATTGCATCATCAGAATTACAAATAATATTAAAAAGATGGTTCTCAGAAAACATTTTTAACAATGAATGTCAGTAAAACAAAATGTTTGCCTATCGCACTTCGTCCCGCTAGCGAGCCGCCCGCCGAACTCAGACTAGCCTTGCACTCATGTGGCACCGCAGGCAGCAATTGCAACTGCCAAATTATTGAAACTGTGTCGCAGTATAAATACCTGGGCATTATAATGGATTCTAAATTGAAATGGGAAAGTCATATACATTTCTTAAAAACAAAACTTAGAAAAATGATTTATGTTTTTTACCAATTAGGTCAAATTTTACGACATGAAGAAATTAAAAGAATTTATTACGCCTACGTTCAATCTCATCTGCAGTATGGTTTAATAGCTTAGGGAGGGGCTTATTCATCAGTAATTGAACCTTTGTTCGTAATTCAAAAATCAATAATTAGAGCTGCGTTAAGAAAACCGAGACGTTATTCTACTGATCACCTGTTCAAAGAATCCCAGTTTTTATCAATAAGGCAGCTATATGTTAAAGATTTATTAGCTTATTCATACATTCATTTAGACCTTATCGCCTTGCCAGTAGTTCATAACTATTATACCAGAAACTCAGTGATGATAGGATTACGGGTCCCAAGAGTTCTCAAATCAACCAATTTAACAAATTCCTTTTACATTGCTAATTGCTTGTTGCGTAATATTCCTCCAGAAATTAGGGACCTGGAGTGTCACTGAGTGTATATAAGAGGGTTATCGCTAATTGGCTGATGGAGATAGGCCTTGACAATACAGAGTCACTTATCAGCCCAGAATATCTCGTTTAGACCTAACCATCTGATAACTGGACTATCTATTGTACCTTCCACAGCACTCTTACTTGACGGAATCCACGCCTCAGTAAAAAATTTGGTTTGAAAGAAAAAAGTTATGCTTTAATCGGATGTATTGCAAACAATGTGCACCCCTTGTTATTGATTGCACGTTGCATATGGTTTTTTAGGTTATTTTATAACTGTTATAGTATTAATTGTATAGTGTTATTTTACCAAGTTATTGTTAGTTCTTTTTTTTGTATAAGTGAAGTGTGAAGAACTTTTATTTTGACAGCAGACAGCTAAGGACTCTATCACACACAGGTCATTGTGACCCATGTGATATTTTTATTTTTTGTATTTATTGCTGCAAAACAGTGTGTAATAGATAAAGAATTTTCTCTCTCTCTCTCTCTCTCTCTCTCTCTCTCTCTCTCCCTCTCTCTCTCTCTCTCTCTCTCAGTTATCTGTTTCCTGTTCATATACATTTTAAGCTGGTTCACTACTCAGTTGAGCTAGTAGATTTCAAAAAGAGACTCAAACACTATTTAACCAACCACAAGTTGTTATTAGATACACAACATATCTTTTTAATAATAGGTTGGTTTATCCGGCCAGGGGCTCGGTCCCACTTAGGTATGAGGGGTTTTACTGTGCGCCCGCTTATTTCGTCGATGAAAATATCTGTATTTCAACTCTATTTATTTCCATGTTTTACGACCAGCAGGCCAAAACCAAAAAAGATATAAATGAAAAATGTGCAAAAAATGGGTGTGTGAGGGAGCGACTTGTGGCCAGTGCTGTAAGATAACATGGGGAGCGTAGCCCGTCGTTTATTTGTTGCTGCGACCAAAAACAGACCTGTAAACTCCTGTTTATAGGCTTTTTAGAGACAAGTTAAAGAGATTTTTCAATTGTAGAACAAATGTTTATAGGGACAATTCACGTTGTAAGATCAAGGGAGGTTCAAACCCCTGAACCCTACCCCTGGATATGCTACTGGCCGTCTTAATTTGATTTAATGTTGTGCACTTTTATTCTTTCTCGCAATGACCAAGTGGTCAAATGTCACCGTATCTTCTAATTTATAGGCTTGGTTCGACAAATCCATTGACAACTCCACTGTACTAAAACAAGTTATGCTACCAGAATACAGCAGCAGCCAGTTGGGCCAGTTGGGCTTTACAGTAATTTCAAAAACTTGATTGATCCTCAACCTCCCTCCTACTGTCGGGGAAATAAATATGTGCACTCGAGTTTGAGCCTAAATATCTCTGAGATGAATTATCCGATTTTGTTGAAACAAAAATTAAATGTAAGCTTGTTTAAATACATTTTACATGGTAACAATTTAAAAATTTTCCGTTTACCAGAAAAATTTATATAGTTGAAAGATCCTAAAAAGTACCGGTTTTTAAGGAACTCTGCACTAACACTGAACTTTAAAAATTAATTGTAAACAAACCACTGAGCCAATCTTTCTGAAATTTTTATGGCTTATTGGTAGGTTTATTGTTAACATTTCCATGCATTTTAAAATTTTTACTCACAAAAGTTTTTATGCTGCTGTTAATTTTTCAAACCTATGCTAACATCGTTAATAAGACGCTAAAAATTTCGTTCAAAATACCATCGTGTTTGTCGTGACACAAGAAATAACACCAATATGATAGATTTATAATGCGAACAAAGGCGTTTTTTAAACAGATTTATATTTGTAAACAAAAATTTCTCCCGCGACTGGCAGAACTTTATCCGGCCGCCTGGTGTGCGTACGATATTTCCCAGCCGGGCGGGAGCGCGGCGAATCTGCGACGTTGCCGATGTGTATCTGGCCAGTGGCCACCACACTGACATTGCATCGGTATTAACTCACGGCAAACAACTGTGTATATCAATATTTAGTTTGAAATTTACATAAATTTACTAACAAAATATTCTAATTAACTAGTCATGAAACAAATACATTATAATAAGTTAACTATGGTGGTATGAAAAATTAATTTTGTATTACAAGCAACAAGCCAACTGTTTTGTGTTGATTGAGCTAGTTAAAAAATTATAACAGCTAAATGCCAAGTAAATATTTTCCACCAGTATTTATTTTATGGTTTCTTTAATTTGCCACTTTTAAATATACAACTGAGAGTAGAAATCGGAGCGGTCATCACCCTTTCCGGGAAGTGTTGCGTTAAAGCTGGAATATCCGATGAGTAATGGAATGTAAACATTAGCTCCCACCTTTCTTGAACTATGGTCGCTATGAGAGATGACTAACCAAGCTAACCAGTTCGTCTTAGATTTTTAAACCGGTCGGTAACTTCTATTCGAAAATGGCTCCTCGCCGGAATTTTTTCGATGGTGAAATACAGATGATAGTTAGTGCGATTTGTTTCTTTCATGCGGAAAAAGAAAAGTGCGGTGACAAACGTTATCCCGTGTATGATCATGTGGCCAATTGTTTTAACATCGGAACAAGGATAAATGTGGACCAATTTACTGTGGGAGCGATACGAAGGTACTTATATGATTTTTACGTGCAAAAAATGTTTCCAACGATCGAAAAATTAAGGCAGAAGCTAAATATTGATTTTCAAAGTTGTTTGCCGTGAGTGAATAGGCTACCGATGCATGGTGGCCACTGGCCAGGTACACATCGGCAACGTCGCAGATTCGCCGCGCTCCCGCCCGGCTGGGAAATATCGTACGCATATTTTTTTTAGTTTTAGTTTTTTTTTTTTTTTAGTAGTTGTATTCCAAGAACGTTCAAAGTAAATATCAACTTAACAGTAGCAAAACCATGCCTAGCCAGATAAACAGGATATAAGATAGTAGTTAGCTCAGGGTATAAAATAACATGTTAACTGGGCGACACAAGTGTCACCCAGTGCTGAGATTTTGTCGCCCAGTGACTATGGGTGGTGCCGGCATATTTTTGTTATGATTCACATTTTAAATGTATCGGAATTTAAAAAATAACTATATGTAAATACTTTAGAGTATTGAGCTATGATTTTGGCCCAAGAGGTTGTGAAGGGAGCTTTGGCCTGTTACAACGTTCTAGAATACGTAATTAAGTGAGATTATATGGACTATTAACAAGCAAATATAATCGAAAAATGCATTAAAAGATACGTAGAAATGTGTGATTTTCACTTTAACTTTTGCAAAAATTTTCGGGTGGGGTATTCCATACCCCCCAGGCCCTCTGGTAAGTCCGGCGCCACTGTCGCCCAGTGAAAATCCCTTAAAATATGCTCTGAGTTAGCTAAAGAAAAAATACCATATTTTTGTATTGGTAAAGAATTGTGATATATATATATATAATCTACTTTCCTTATTTTGTTTAAAATGTCTGCCATGGCAGTGAACAAGTGCTTCACATTAGTGAGCAAAACCACATGAACATATATATGATTAGAAACTTGGGATTAAGAAGGAACTAATATTTAAGAGAAGCATGACTGTTTGTACAAAAATGTATTTACAAAAATAATATAAAATGCTTTGGTCTTATTTTCTATTTACACCAAACTTGTACAAGTCTAGCAGCAGGTCTACGAGATCGATTTGCTAAATAACAACTACGATTAGAATGCACACTGGTTAGTCTACTTAATAGTTACGATTAAGTAGTATTTAGATACAACATATAGACTATGCATATTTTGTTTAAGTAAAAGTTGTAGAGATACATTCAGGTCACATGATATTCGGAGTCTTAATATTTATCACTATTTTTACATTTAAAAAAAGGCAGAGGATACGCGTCCGGTAACCGGACGTGGATTAGACGTCCGGCAATTACTGTCATAACCTAACCTAACCAACCAAACTTGCTGATAGTGAAAAAATCGAATTAAGGTGAAATTCTTTCTCTATAAAAAAAATTATAAATGCCAAAAATTCTAATAAAAGATGTACAGTTAAGAATAAATGGTATTCAATGCAAAACTCTTCGACAAAAAGTTAAAGTCATCAATGGGATTCGAACCCTGGACCTCTTGCATATCAGCCGAGCACCTTATCCACTACACCACGAACACCGATGGCTGGTCATTGTATTGTTGTGGTAAAGGCGTTCCAGGCTCCCGCAACCCCATGACGTCATTGCCGTACGCCTTATCCACGTCCGGTTACCGGACGCGTATCCTCTATGTTAAAAAAAACTGTAATAATGAGTCTTTAATAATAATATTAATAAAATAATGCTATGCATCTCATCATAAAAAATATTGAACAATCAATAAATATTTTAAATACTTTGATAATTAATTGAAGACAAAAACAAAATTTAGAATATAGTATAGCCTATTTATATAGCCTAGTTAAATTATAATTTTAAAAAATATACATATTAACAAATAAACCTAATGACTTTGGCAGGAATTTGTATAATATTGCTTTACACGGCAACAATCTTGCTGGGGTCAACTTTGATTCTGATGTAGAGTGTATCGTCCCTCGTAAAGTTGCGTTTTCCCAGACTTTCATGAGACACAAACCTAGGGAATCCAAAGCCGAGGGTGTCAGGTTCGCTTGCTTTGCTTGGACGCTGAAAGTTTTCCCATGTTGGATCGGGGACAAAACTCTCCACTATGTTGCAAGCCTGTAAAGATAATACAGAATTTGTAAATAACATTTTTAACTAGTTCAAATGCAGAAACCTAAGGTGTTTAATAGCACATACAGTATTGAACAAATTGAAATAGTCCAATTTAGAGTTTAAAATCTCGGATGTAAGTTTCTCCAAATACGTATATTTGCTGAAATCTTTTTACTTTGTGAAATTTATAGGCTATATATAGAAAAATTAATTAGATTTAAAACACATAAATTAATATAATTACTAAACCTTTTTGTTTGATGTTCTGTTAATGCATCTATGGTGTTAATAACTCATAACAATTCATTTGGTTTATGATCTGTACAGGGGTACAGAAAGCCTAATAAATCAAATTTTCCTATTTATAATTTTAGTTTAGCCAACAAAAAGCTTTAGCAATCTATTTCAATTTAAAAATTCATCAGACAATATTCAAACAAGTTGTTTTTAGTTCAAATCATTGCCTTACTAAAGCAACTATTTAAGCAACTATTATCTGACACACTGTATAATTATGCAATTATTATGTCAAAAGATAAACAAATGGGTAGGTACACCAAAAACTTGAAGTGTTTTATATAGGCTAAAGTGTCATTAAAATAACTGGTCTAATAAACTGGGATTTTCTCTCATCATTCCAATTACTATTGTTACTTTATAATAATAATGGTTCAATTGTGAGAGATACTGGTATCCTACAACTTACTGGTATCCTGCAACTGTTAGTTTCATCAAAAGCCTAAAACTAGTAAAGTGAATGGAGGGATGCTACGAGAGACCTAAAGGTTAAAGTAGCAAAGAAATGATTGGCTATACAGTAACCCTCTTATCTGGACACCTTTTAACCGGACATCGGTTCAACCGGACTTCACTCAGTGGAAATGACATCTCTTTACCTGGACTATTTTTATCAGCACATCGGTCTAACCGTACTGAATCAGCAGGAAATGGGAGGTACTGAAACGACAGTTCTCGTAGGAAAGATTAGTGATCACATGTCTAAATATGTAATAATCATTATCGGCTTATACAGTATGCATTTAAATGGTCTGTTTTACCGAGTTTTGAGGGACGTCGGTTTAACCGGAAAACCCGCTATCCGGACTGGCCTCGGTCCCGAGGAGTCCGGATAAGAGGGAGTCTACTGTACCCTAAACTCACACTAAAACAATAAAATCTGTAGCCTACTTCTATGGAATTGTATTACTTTACAAGAACTCTGAATAAATCACAACGCACCTTCTCGCTCTGGTCAAAGAGTGTGAAGGCGACAGAGTGAGCGAACGGCCACCTGAGCAATGCATCGTACTCGCCAGGCAGCAACTTGATGTACAGAGACAGATGAGTGTTCTCTCCAGCGCCGTTGCCGTTCAGGAACAACGATGCTTGCAGCTTGTAGCCAAACTGAGAAGTGTAGAACGGAGGAGAGACCAGCTCCATACCCTCCTTGCAACGAGCCTCCGCCATCTTGGCACTGAACTCTGTGACTTTCCAGACCAGTGTACCTGTAAATGGATTGCATTACATTAGTTGTGCTTCATATTACCTTACCTAGATGCTAGATTTTTAATAGATTTTTTTCCAAGATTTTTAATATCATTACAAATTCTTTGAAAGCTGCAAGTTTGTTTAACGCTTGTCATAGCACCGCAGATTTGGGATAAAAACCCTTCATAAATTCACCTATTCAAACAGTACTTACTTCAGTTTGTGGCCGGGCTAAGGTGAAAATTTACATTTTAGTGTGAACTTAGTTTAATGTCAGCACAGAAAACATACTACTATAACCCAGAATGCTGACCGTGTGTTAAACAGTGTTAAGTACTCGGAGAGCACCACCAGCATACAATGCACCAGTATAGCAATGGTGGTGGCGCTGCCTACGAATTGACAGGCAAAGCTCTCGAGTACTTAATACTGTTTAACACGCGGTCAGCATTCTGGGTTATAGTAGTATGTTTCCTGTGGCGGCAGTAATGAAAGCAGGGCCGCTATTATAAATGGGCTAAGTGGCGCAATGGTTCAGTAGGAAGGGGGAAAAATTAACCCTCTAGGTAGGTGCAGAGGGGCACAATTATCTTTCGTCAGTTCAATCAGTTTTCTATTTATTATTTATGAATCTCTTGACAAGAGTTTGTAGGTTGTTAAAAGAAGTGTGCAGTGTAGCCGTACCTGTGTGGTTGAGAGACAGCCGGGACAGAGCACTCTTGAGACTGGTGATCTGGTGCTGCTGTCTGGTGACTAGACTGCACATCAGCGCCAGATGTTGTTGGCTGTTCTCCTCTAAATGTCTCTCCATCACCATTCCTCTCAAGCCCTGTGGATTATTTTGGTTAAAAATGTGTAGATTACTTACCATCTAAAGTATTTATCAAGTGGATTACCATTGTAAAATCTGAAGCTTGATTTTTAAGTGTGGTTATGTAACAAATTTTATAACAAATTTTAAACTGAAACACACCACTACATGAACCAGGTGGAACTAACATTAAGATTTTCTACTGCTGATCAATCCATAAGGATGACAAATCTATAAGGAAGTACTGCATGTTTAATGGTTTAAACAAAGATTATACTGTGTAAAATGAGCCAAGGTGAAAATTGCAACAATTAATTAGAATACCTTTTCCAACCCATTAGATTCGGGAATTTTTATATAGAGTATTGATCAGTTACATTGCTTGACTTTTAGGAATGCGGTACTGGATATGTCCAATCTGAAGCAATTTAACACAAATTAAAAACCAAATCCTTCATTATCAGTCATTCCTTGCCTCCCATTGACAATTGGGCATTAGTACATACAAGATTTTCTTTTTAAATGAAATTTAAAAGTGAAAGATTCTCTTCTACAATTCGGTGGAGATAATTAAAGTCAAAGCTTACCTTAAACCTGCAACCCGCCTCTTTGAATGTGCAAGGGGTAAGCAGGCTGGCACATTGGTCCTTGAGATGGCTGTCCAGGTCTTCCCTGGGAATAATCCCCATCTCACATCTGCAATGGGTACATTTTAATGTTACCATCTTTTGTTTGAATAAATCGTAATAATAATGAAATAAAATACAAAGGATTTAGTAATAAAAGATAGAAATCAGAAATTACTGGAAACAAACAAATTCTGGTACAAACAATTTTTTTCAAAATTCTAGAATTTGTGCATTTAGTGTTAATGAAGTACATGGTATCCACTATTCAATATGACTGTTTTAATACAAGAAGATGAAGTTAGTTTGATGCAGGTTGCAATAAAAATAAGTAGCTATTCACAAAAACAAAAAAAATATGTTTTTTGATAACATCTGAACTTTGCTCTTAACAACATTTTCTCTTAAATATTTCTCAGGTGGAAAAATAAGAAAAATTACTTTTAAACAATTATGACTAAACATTTTCTGCTTGATACCACTTCTTTTGGAGGGTTTGGTGAATTCAGATCTCAGTCAAGATTTTGGATACTTTCAAAAAGTAGTAAATCTAAAGACTCTCCTATCTAAAAAATTATAACGTACTTCTGTGACTAAGTAAGCTGAGATCCAAGCAATCGTATTATTATCATGTACCTGTTTGGGCAGGGGACTGGAGCGCGCAGACACGCAGAGTGGTGAGTCTGTAGTGTATCAGCGACGTAGCTCTGTGTACAGTAGCGACAAGCAACGAGCCTCTTGTTGCACTCACTCTGTTTGTGACGACCGAGCAGTCTTCGTTGAAGTTTCATTCCACACTGATACAAGAACAAAGCGTTAAACAATTAAATAGCACAGTTGAGTTTAATACAACAAGATGCAACAAGAGAGCATCAAGACTATAAGGTTGAATATGTTTTCCAGTTTAGCAAAAATTATTTTTTAGTTAAGTGTATTTTTTACTTTTTTAAATCATAGAATATGTATTTTGTTAATGTAGTATAAATTTATGTTGATGTGTAAGCAAACAAAATAACTAGAGAAACCCTTGTTACCAATCAAGCAATACCTTTTGTTTTGTGAGCAGTTCTATGATTTTATTCACATTTACTAAATAGTACGAGGTGATTTTGTACATAACAATTCAAATAGAAACCAACATTTTCAATGTATACTAATTCTATTTCAATTAACATGTTTTAGTGAAATGCAGCCACTGTGCACAACAATTTGCCTATTTCTAAAACAAGTCTTATTATACAATGTTTCAGTAGATGCCTCACCTTGTTCTCACAATAGAGTGGTTCCAGGGGACATGTTCCTGTGTGTTTATCGAGTGCAGCCCCCGGCAGGTCAGTTCCACAGAACTCACAGCGAGCCAAGCGCTCGGAACAGGTGAACTTGAGGTGGTCCTCCATAAGCACTCGCGGGATCTGAGCTCCACAGGCATTAGTGCAGGGGATGGCATCATGCTTACAGGTGTTGAGATGTGCCTGCGGATCAATGTGGCAATCAGTTATCATATCAAACAGTGAAAGATATAGTTGCAAATTTTCTGTTTCACATTCAATTTAAATCTATCAAAAGCGTACGGATATTTAATAGGGGTGTTGACCTAGTTTAGCTCTTGTGGTATTCAGTGGCGTTGCTTGGTAAAATCCCAGGGGGGGGGAGAAGCCTAAATTCTCCCAACTGCTAAACATAGATTTCCCAACAATTTTTTCATCCTATTAAAAAAATCTAATTATTATACTACACTGCAGTCACACTCGATTCAGTATTTATTAACTTGTATTAACAAAACATAGCTAGTTTCACATTTATACAAAATTACTCAATTTTAAAAACTTCTAAAAGTTCTATGGTATTGTTACACACTGCTGGTAGTTTGGCTCGTGCTTGGACCAGTGACCAAGTCGGCCACTACTGACTGAGGAAAAGCCTTCAAGAAACAGTATTGCATGAGAATTAGACAAGACAAGTATAAAGTAGTTGACCCTCTGAGACTATCTGCTTGTCTATTGGTCTCAGTTGTCCACAGTGTTGTTACAACTTTTCCTTTAACTGAGGTCAGGTGAAAGGACCATTTTTTTGTTGTTTTTTGTGTGTATTTGTTTTTACTTAAGTGCTAAAAATGTGTCCTCATCTACCTTTAGCTTGCGGAGTTGATCATTCCATTTACATCCTTCCTTGTGGTGAATGCAGTAAACCATAGAGCTCATGATATCCTTTTCACTGTCAGATATCTGAAACAAAATATGCATTTAGTTTTATTTAATTTATTCTGTGATCTTAACCATTTGTCTGAAAAATAAAATAGATTTTTTTATGACACGGTTTTTAAGAAAACCCCTATTGGCATTTTGGATTCTACAATCATTTTATAAATAGCATAGGCTAATCTGAAACTAGATGATGCTATTATAGCCTGCCTACTCATTTTAACCGTTTACTATTTAATACTATAACAAATACGAATTTAAGAACATCTTAAAGGTTTGTTTGTACTTGTGATCTCATATAATTTCATAAAAAAACACATAGAGACCGGAATGTCGGCAAGGAAGGCTGAGACCAGGACTTTACATTATCAATGCCACCTGTTAGGTCCAAAGGTCCTTGTTTATGAGCTACTTCCGTTCCCAGGTCCGCTGTTAGCATTCTATGCTAATCGCCATAACCTGTAAACACCCATTCCCTCGCTTTCTAGCATTGTAATTCAATCCTTTGTGACATTAATTGCCTTACGTCATATAATTGTTTTGATAAAAGAGCTTTCGAAGCTCGAGGATAATGCATAGGGGTGTTATTTTAACACAATCCCCATCTCTCATTGGTACCTGTGTTATAAAATATTGACATAGCCTACATAACAGGAATTTTAAATACTGAGATTACAAATTTTATAATTGCGATGTTGTGTTGGCTTTGTATTGTCTCGCGACATACTGTACATGTATTTGTACATGCTTCGTATAAATTACATTATTTGTATAAATGACATATAAATGACATACATTGTATAAATGTATTTGTACATGCTTTGTTGTGTTTTGTGTATGAATGACAAAACTGTTGAAGCTCTTTAAACAAATGCAGCATGTTGTTTAAGATCCGGTTCATAAATAAAATAATCAGTCAGCTGTCTTTCGTTGCTCTTTCTCGGAATAGTTGAACGTAATTGGTTATAAAACAGCTGGAAGTGCGGTGTGCGGCGAACTGTCGCCAGTTGTTATATGTATATGGTCAGCGACAGGCCATATGGCGAAGAACAGCTGATAAATACATTTAAGTGGTCACTATTGGTTTATTATCTCTGCGGAACATTAAAGAGGACCAGTCCTTTTTCTGGGTTAAAAGCCCACGCTTTTAGCTCAGTAAACGTTTACGATTGAACTGTATCAGTCCTTTTAGTCAGAAAACGGGAGTGAGAAGAGATTGGGCATACTGGGTGAAAATTGACGACATAAGTTGGTTTGAATAGAAGATGTTTTAAAACAGAATTAATTGTTCTATAGTCATAGTCATAGTCAAGAATCTTTATTCATAGTATACATAGTTGTACATGAATAGTGTCAAATATAGAAAGTTCTAAGTATAGTTTACACTATAGCGTGTCGTCTGCATCGTAAAAAGACGAGAAAAAACTAAAATTTGATAAATTTGTGCGCATGAAATTCACGTTACGATATACAAGGGGAACGTGATTAATAAGATAGTTTTTCGTTTATGTGCTATCTGGGTATCATAGTATACTATGTAGCGCAAAATTAATTGGAGGAATCAAGAAAACCAGTTTGCATATACTGTACGCTTTAGATTTGTACAGTGCAATACAGCCATTGACTATATAGATTAAAAATAGTCAGTTTTGATTAAATAATAGTCACGACCAACTTTGAATGCAATACTACATTTTACCTTGTTATTTTTTTATTTAAATAGTTAAAACAACATTTATTTTAATTTCACTTGGGTCTCGTAAGCATGCCAGTAGTTTTGTGCCCGGATTAAAGCAAACACAAGGACACATAGCTTTGTCTACTACGGCGACAACCCTCTCACAGTAAATGAGATCACTTGCCCGATAATCGCCTGTCCTCGATACCAAGAATAACTCTCCCTCACCGTAATGCTAATGCATAACTGCAATAGAGTAGCAATAGAAGCATAACTCAAAGTAACCTGAGCTGTTATAGAGTTATTTCATCTTCTGTGAACCTTATAGCCTGGTTCCAAAAAAGTGTAATTATATTTTTAGCGAATTTTCCAAATAGGGAATTAGCTATTACCGTCAGTCTCATTAGGCCTATATTAAGACAAGCCAAAGACGTCTTTACTTTTACGTTTGATGTATCCAGAGGCCAAAAACCCCCTTTAGCACGATAAGTCTACATCAAAATCGACCGATTTTGATGAAATTCGGTACAAAGGTGTAAACTAGGAGGATTAAAGGAGTAAACCTACCCTGATTTGAATAGATTCACGACCAGCATGATCGGACTATGGGGCAGGTTTTTATTGTGTAAAAATTGTTATTCCCATTTTGACCGTCAAAATATAACATTTCACAGTTCTTTGGTAGAGCTAAAAGAACATTAATTTAGTACTGTACTGTATTGTAGCGGTGTTTGTAATGTTGCGGAGAAAATTAAAAAAAAAAAACTATAAATTACAAATTCACACGTTAATATAATAGAAAATAAGTTAACTGTTGTCGTAGGTAGTTAACTTGTTTATGGATATATTTTGATAACATTTTACTGAGCTATTAAAATTGTAAAAAAAAACAACTATAGGTAAAATAAAATACCCCCGCCGCAGCAAACCTGCAGACTAAGCGAATTTCCATTTGACTGATTGGATTTACACTGAAATGTCTACTTAAAAATATAACATTTATTCTTGATTTAAATATAATTAGTTTAACAAGTACTTAGGTTTGCTGCATCAAGGAGGGTAAAACTTTTTTTTGTTTGTAAAATGTGAATAGGTAGTGAGAAATAAAAACATTTTCCAAATTTGATCAAAATATGTTCACAAACAAGCAAACTACAACAGTTTACTTATTCCCCATAAGAATAGCATGAGAATTTTAAATTTACAATTTTTTGGAATTTTCTCCGTAACTATTAGGCACATAATAACGCTTCAATATACTAAATTATTTGTTTTTTTAAGCTCTACAAAATGGTTTGGAAAGAAATTGCTAAATTTTATGTATTTTGGGCCAAAAATAGGAAAAACCTATTTTTACCCCATAAAACCCCCCGTAAACCCCCGTTCCCATGGTCCGATCATGCTGGATCGCGAACTCGTTCGAATAAACGTACGTTTACACATTTGTACCAAATTTCATCCAAATCGGATCATTTTTGCTCGAGTTATCGTGCTGACGGACACATATATATATATATATATATAAATATATAAATATATAAATATATAAATATATATATATATATATATGAATTTGAACGGATGGTGTTTTTGGCCTCTAGGGACCTCAAAACGAAAAAAAAAATCGGTCCCGCGTCCAGGTCTTACCATGAGTACTACGGTAATAGCTTATTCCCTATATGGGAAATTCGCTAAAAGGGATTTGAAGCATAATGATTGAATTAAGAAACAAAATCTGAATGGGATTGCCAGGGACCAGAAATACTAGACGCTGAACCGATTTATATTCATGATAAATGTAAAATATGCACAAGTAAAACTTTTTACACAAAATAAAAGTGTACAATTATTCGTTTAATGATCCTACAATACCTTGATGGAGCTGGAGCTTACATCGCGGGGTCGCACTCTGTACATGACGACGTACACAACAATCACAATCACACAACGTACGCAGACTGACTGTGCAGCAGACAGTTCGCACTTCCACCTCCAGGCGCGCCACAGCCACTGGACTGTGCGCTAATTACACCTTTACATCAGTGTTTCCATTCGCGGGATTATTATCCCGAAAACGGGATTTTTAGACCTTGAGCGGGATTAAAACGGGATGCGGGATAAAACGGGATTTTCGGCTGTGACGACTATTTTTATTTTTTTCTACTTAATTTTAGAGAAAAACTAACTAAAATTGATTAAAAACTGTAGCAAAATATAATAGTGATATACATGATACGTCAAGTATAATACTAGGTATTGTACAAAAAAATCATGCGGGATAAAACGGGATTTTTCACAAGTGAAAAGCGGGATAAAACGGGATTTCTCGACCCAGTAAGCGGGATTATTTTTTTGGTCGTGTGGAAGCACTGCTTTACATTGCACTACACTCACACTGTGCAGGTGCCGTCAAGGTGAACGGGTCTATTAATGTATCAGTCTATCCGTTTACTGTTTAGCCGTACAAAGCTAATAGCACATTATCTGTCAATAGCTGTTGTTCTAACAGTACTCAAGATCCGCACTAAAGGGAAGGGGAACATTATTGATAATTATATTGTAGAACGTTTGCTGCAGAACGTCTATCATAACCAACGATTGGTCTAATGTGATCGTTGATCATAACACGTAGCCTCCCGATTGCACCAAATAGGAGAATATGGACTTGTAATCCAAACAAGTCGGTAATATGTTTTGTCCCACATTGCCGAAAAAAGCTTCCTTTGACAGGTCTAAAATGTTCGTTCGTATTGTTGTAATGTGCAATTAGTAGTAATAACACTTGATCCCTAATTAGCTTTACCATTTAACTAAGTAAAGGTTAAAGTTTGCTTTTAAAACCAAAGTGCTGTAACTGGGCGGGGTGGCATGATAAGACAAAATGACGAATCTTTCTTCTAGATTCGTATTTCATATCAAACTGCGCAACAGGCATTGCAAAGTATCAAACAATGTCTTCTTTGATGCATGGATTATTTATCAGTTCTAAAAGCACAGTGTACACATTCACTTCACATTGCATGAACTGATAACAAATGTTTACGCTGTACATCCTATGTGAATTTCGATGTTTGATTTCATACGACCTCAGTATCGATGTGCTGTAATACCTGATCAATTGAATTTGTTGTTGATACTGTATCACGATTTGTTGTTTCCGTGACTCTAGAGAAGTCAATCAACTTCCTCCACGAGTTCACTGTCGAGTTGCGATGCTGGTGCACGTGTTGTCGCGAATGTTTACAAGAGGAATAAGAAACAGTGACCGGAAACAGCTGATCGACACGACGACACTTCCGTTACCGCTCGTGATCATGAGAGCGATCGATTGAACTTCCGGCGAGAC